CGAAACCATTGTTAACCTTTCTAGATTATTTTTCCAAGTGTTCGTTTAAAATCCGAGAGTTCCAAGTTCCACAAAATTCCACGAGCTACTTAGTCGATAATTATTTTCGACCAAGAGTGAATTTTCATTTTAAATTCCCGACTTCAAGATAAATATTTTTAAAATATTATCTTGATTAATCTGTAGGTGTTTGAGGAGTCGAGCCTCAGCCTACCAGCAGCTGATTGTTTGATTCATCTACTAAACTGATCAGGTGGGTGTTGATAAACTTACCATGTATGTTAATTTCTATAAATGCTTGGCTTGATAATCTATGTATGCACGTGAACCGGTAGTCTATGAGGCCTAACTCTAGCCTTTAGAGAGCTTAGTCCGTGTGACGGTACGTCTGCGATTGCTCCCGTCTTTTTCGTATCGACGGCTCCTGTCCTTTTCGTGGGGACGGCTTGTTTCCTATCTTTTTTCGAGATTGATAGGTTAGGTGTGATCACATGAGCGTGGCTGTGTTTAGGGAGGGTAGACTAGTCGATTCGATTACATGCTGCGATTATGGTTTTAAGTCTTTATATTGATTATACTGCATGGTATCCCCACGGTGAGCAAGTGTTCGCTCACCCCCACTATTATATCTCTTTTCAGGTTGAGCTGGTGGCCGTGGCAATAAGACGAGCGAGGCAGGGTCATTATGTGCTATTGAACTGTTTTACCTGCTTCCGCTTTTATCTAATATCTATTCTCTTGTCAGCATGATTATTTGTTTTTGGAGATTTTACCATGTTTGGGATTTGAACTTGGAAATTTATTATGTTATGACTATTGAATTATTTTATATGGCTGAATATCTGTTAGAGCATGATTGATTGTAGACATGAGACGAGTTCTGATCTAGATGGTTGTTTCCCCATTTAGTTAAGTGTGATCTTAACTGTGGTTATGTGAATTTTCGAGTAGCGCTCGTTATATAAATCTTTAAATTGATTTTTGAAAATTTAACTCTGATATTGACTTTGGAAAAATAAATTGGTATTTTTCACTTAAAAATAACGGGGCGTTACAGTATGGTATCAGAGCAAGTTTACGTTTCTGTAGACTGCTTCTGAAGTTGTTTATGTATTTATGTTATGACCCCTCGCTTCTTCCAGCCACGCCAGCTCAAGGTATGAGTGTTGTTTATTTTATTTAAATATTGATTTGGGGCTTAGGAATTTATCCACCTTTCATTTGATTAATTTGAACTTTAGTGGTTGAGTTTGTGCTAAGTTCCAACTTGTCTTATAGATATGGGTCCTCGTAGAGATCCACATGCTCAGCAGACTCCACCCACTCAGGGTGAAGATCATGGCCGCACGATTGAACGGTTTCAGAACATGCGTCCCCCAACCTTTTCGGGAGTGGAGGGTCCAACAGCTTTAACGGAGTGGCTCCGTAAGCTAGAAAGGATCTTCACCGTTCTCCGATGCTCGGATGCCCAGCGCATTGAGTGTACCGAATACCAGATGGAGGGTGATGCCGCTGATTGGTGGACTGACTATTGGGTTTTGAGGCCAGAAGCTGAGCGGACTGCCCTCACTTGGGTAAGGATGAAGGAGATTGTCACGGACAAGTACTTTCCCAAGAGCTATCGTGACCAGAAGGAGCGAGAGTTCTATGATCTTAAGCAGGATGCCTCTACAGTCGATGAGTATTCTCGGGCCTTCACCCGTTTGAGTGCCTTTGCCAGACATGTGGTGGACACTGAGGAGAGAAAGGCTCGTAAGTTCCGAGATGGGCTTCGCCAGGATATCCGTGTTTTGGTGGCGAGTCATGGGGATCTCCCTTTCGCAGACACCGTCATCCGTGCTCAACAGATTGAGAGTTGCCTGACCCCGGTTGTCCCCGTCCCTTCCTACTACCATTCCCAGCCTCCTCAGACTGCTATCATCACTCAGCCAGCTATCTCTGCCCAGCCCTCCTCTGGCTCGCACAAGAGGAGGAATGACCATCACTCGGGCCATAAAAAGTCTAAGCGCCCAGATACCGGCAAGAAGTCAATGAGAGCTCTGCCAATTCAGCAGGTTCCGGGAGGACAGCCCAGATGTGGATCATGCGGTAGGTTCCATGCAGCAGGAGAGTGTTTCGCTGCCCAAAAGACATGCTATAACTGTCATCGTCTCGGACACTTTGCTCACAAGTGCCCTGAGCCAAAGAGAGAGAATCCCGGACCGCACCAGCAGCAACTTCAGTACCAGCAGCCATCGCAGCATCAGCAACAGAACCAGCAGCGACCCATGGCCCAGGCCCGAGTTTACGCTCTCACCAATGACGAGGCCGCCAACAACACAGGTACCATGTCTGGCATGCTTTCTATTTCCAACGTGCCTTTCTTTGCCCTATGTGATACTGGTGCCACGCATTCTTTCATTTCACCAAGTTGTTTGGAGGCCTTAGGAATTAGGGATGTCAGTAAGGTCGACGCTCTCGAGGTTAGCCTAGCCTCGGGAAAGACGATTGGTACTGATTCAATGGTTCGAGGTTTGCAAGTTAATATCGGCGGCAGGAACTTGGAGGTCAACACTTATATTATTGAGATGCGGGACTTCGATGTGATTCTCGGCATGGATTGACTCACTCATTACCGCGCCGACATCCGATGCTTGGAGAAGGAGGTCACGCTTCACCCAACCAATGGAGAGTCGATCGTGTTTTACGGCGCCAAGTCGAGGACTGTACCGAAAGTCATTTCCTCCCTGAAGGCCATGAAGGAAATATCGAAGGGTAGCTGCCAAGGCTACTTAGTGAGCATGATCGGAGAAGGGGAAGAGAAGAAGGCATCACCAGGGGATGTGTCAATCGTATGTGAGTACCCCGATGTTTTCCCCGACCAATTGCCAGGTGGACCACCCAACCGGCAAGTTGAATTCACCATCGACTTGCTACCTGGAGCCGGACCTGTCTCGAAGGCCCCTTACCGAATGGCACCGAAGGAGTTGCAAGAACTCAAGACGCAAATCCAGGAGCTGCTGAACCTTGGTTTTATCCGACCGAGTGTTTCACCCTGGGGAGCGCCCGTGCTTTTCGTAAAGAAGAAGGATGGTTCGATGCGGATGTGAATCGATTATCGTGAGCTGAACAATTTGACGGTCAAGAACAAGTATCCCTTGCCGAGAATCGAGGATCTCTTTGACCAGTTGAGAGGAGCCAGTGTCTTCTCCAAGATCGATCTGCGGTCTGGTTATCATCAGCTGAAGATCAAGGATTCCGATGTCTCGAAGACTGCCTTTCGGACTAGGTATGGCCATTACGAGTTCGTGGTAATGCCGTTCGGGTTGAGTAATGCCCCTGCGGTCTTCATGGACTTGATGAACCGTGTTTTCCACCCGTACCTGGACCGCTTCGTTATCGTCTTCATTGACGACATCTTGATATATTCCCGGGACATCGAGGAGCATAAAGAACATTTTAGGATAGTGCTAGAGACTCTTCGTCGAGAAAAGCTCTACGCGAAATTCTCGAAGTGTGAGGTTTGGCTGGATAGGGTGGCTTTCTTAGGCCACATTGTCACGGCCCATGGAATCGAGGTAGACCCAGGGAAGATTGAG